TTCCACCAGTTGCTGTTGCTGGCCCGCTTCAACAGGTGGATGATAGGCTAACGCTGCGACAAATTCAGCCCCATGACACGCCACAGCGTCTGCAGTGGAAACGGTATAACTTCTGGTGTTGAAGCCTCTGTCATGTGTTAAGGGTATGGAGCTATATTGAGAACAGTTTCCTGTAACACTCGTCATTCAGATGCGTCTCTTACAAGCCCACAGTGAATGAGCCACGAAGAGTGATGAAGTTGGAATTTGGTCTCGACAAGCGGCGGCAGGAGCTCGACCCATGCGAATTACGACTTCGGCGTGATAAACTAAAGTGTCGAGTTGCCGTCGACTACAGTGGTCTGATGTTTCGTGCTCGTATGAAAATTAGCGTGGTAAAGAAACGAAGTGTCCTATTGTTCTTGGACGGATGTCACCTATAAACGGCTGGCGCTGATAACGGTGTCAATGCCCTGTGTGTACAGATAAGATCATACAATAAAGAGAACAAATTTGTTCGCAAGAATTTTTTTCACTTTGACTGTTGCACTTTTTATGTAGTTCTTCTAGCACCAGAAGGTCACAATATCGATTGGACGCCTGTCTTGGCGATAATTCCAATGAAGAGAAATCACTGAAAAAGAAAATTAATTGGCTGTGTCGAGAAATTGAATAGATAAGTTGAGCGCGACCAGGTGCGGATAAAATTATCGAGGAAAACGCTCCAACCATTTGTACGTCTTTAGAGGGCTTAGCAATTAAACTAGGCAGGTAACCCTTTTGTCCACTTTCTTGGAGATGGATAATCACAGAGCAGCTCACATTTAGCACGAGCTCTGGCGCAGTTCGACTTAGAGGGGACCGAATGATACCCAGCTAGGGTTGTACAAGCCTTCTTGTGAAGATCTGCGAATTCCTGTAACCAAAGTGGCTCACTTCCACTGTTTCGCAGCTTCATAGGAGTTTACAGGTTTCCATTAAAGTGAGACCTGTCATTGAGCATGAACTAACAAACTGAACTAGCAAAGTGCAAAATGCCCCCTCCAAGCCGAACACTGCCCGAGCTCCTATTGCAAGGTTACAAATGCTTAACAAATGCTCAAAGCGTAACATCAGTACCCCCATTTATGATGGAGTTGCCTCAAGGATCCCTGCAACTTCTCTGCCGTTTCTGGAGAAACACAGCAACTCACTGGATTCTTCGAGGTCGATAAGCACGAGTTTCTTCCGTGCAGAGCTTTTATAACAATGTGCGGCCATCAGGACGCCCTCGTTGATGGTCCAACGGTCCCCGCATAATTTCGTGACGTGGCCGGCCTGATTTTCCACTCCATGACAAGTGCAATGGCACACTTGACCTGGAGTTCGGAACTCCGCTGACTAGCCACAGTT